TTTCCCATACGAGACTAAGGCCAGGGTGAGCCTATGAGAACATGAAAACCGCCATTGGAGACGAGATATGTGGTTGTGCTGCGCGAATTCCAAAACTGCCCCTGAGCAATGGCAAAATTCCAGAAATGCCACTCTAAGTTGTATTACGAAAATTTCCTGGTTCTTTAATTCGTTTTTTTTTCCTAGGTGTGTCCGTACTTGGAGCAGTGATCCAGAGAGAGGGAGTGATAGAAAGAAGATCTCAAACAAATGCATATGACGAAAGGATAAAATCTGACTGCGCTCCCTTTCAATCACGGGATACACTAGCCGCAAGCTACGTGCTCCCTGCAACAGGGCAATAGTGGAGGGTGAGTGGAGAGCTCGTTTTACTACGTGATTATGCCGTGACCACACTAACGGTCCTTGTTGTGTCGAGCCGGCCTAATGTAGCGCACCTCAGCAGCAATCTAAACAGAGGTTATATGGTATTGTGAAGGAAAAGCTATMGTGATAGCAAGACAGTATCCCACAGATTCCCGCATGACAGCAGCAGCAGTATCTTATCCTGGTCTTATGCTGATGGTTCTTTCAGTAGTGGAACTATGTTGTGCGAACACAACAACAAATATGCCAATAAGTAGTATGCTGCATGAGGGGCATTGATACAGATATGCTATTGAGTTCAGTGACATAAGGGACGTGTCAGCACGGTGTTGGAAGAAGCTATGACAGTATGACTGCAGCTGTTCGCTGCGTGAGCACGACAGCAGCACAAAGTTTTGCAGGAACGGTACTTGTGAAGAGAAACTTCATCTGGATATCAACTTGCCTATGCTCAGGATGATCGGAGTAGACCAGTTTTGACAAGTGACACAAAAAGACTCGGATTTTGAAACTCAAGGAGCGCTTGCAGCTATCAGACCTCCGCAACCCACAGTGCAAAGTCACAAGCCTCGCAAGGATCCAACAAACTGATTACGGCCTTGGAGAGCAGGACTTCACCGCAAGTCACAGTCTCAGGAATACAGACTCAGACGCAGCGACAGACTGTAACGCTCGGACTCAGTGGCATCGACCCTCCAGGAAGGGATATGAAACTCAGATCGTGAAAAAGAACCCAGCGTACCAATTGCTGTTGCCTGGATGGCTAGTTCAATCACTGGCTATAGTATTCTGATTCAAACTAAGGCGAGGAAATATCGAATGAATGTCTGGATTTCATGTGGGATCAGGAATCAAGAGGTTGTTAGTTTTATTTTAAATTCATTTCATTTTGATCATCTGTAATATCATATCTGAAAGTGCTACAAGAAAGGTGCGATGACAGGAAGAACAAGCTGAAATCACCCTGCTGGTCGCTGAGGATCTCGGAAGTGGGCGCAGCGGGTGACAGACGCTGTAGCGCTTGGCTTCAGCGAGCAGTAGGCGACCCCTCCCCGGGTCTCCTCACACCGCGTCCAATCCTATTCTCACTCCTCCTCCTAGTGGTGGTGTATCCTCCTCTGCTATTGTTCCTCATGTCGCAGGTGGATATCAAGGTTCTGTCAACTATTCCAAGGGTAATGGTTGGCACCAGGCTCGACAACGGCTTGAGTACCTCGAGGCTACGATGGCCTCTATCAAGGTTCGTTATGATGCCGAAATTGAACACGAGAAGAATAAGATTGCTGAAGAGGACAAAATCAAGAAAGAGAAGGTGAATGAAGAAAGGAGAGCTCAAGAAAAGCTGGAGAGGGAAGAACTTAACAAGCGCATGATGGAGAATATGAACAAATGATTGGATTCCGTATGTTTGGCACTCTATGGAAAAACGGTGGATGAAGTGACTGCATCACGGATGGCTGAGACGCCCCGTACGACTGCCCCGATGGGGAAGACGGACGACAACGACGAGCTGTTAGCTAAGCTGATGGCTGACCAAGAAAGGATGAAAGTGCAACTTGATGAAGCGGCGGCGGCTAGGAAGCGGCTGGAGAAATTGGAGCAAGAGATCTCTTGTCTCCGTCAAGCTCGGGACGATACGAAGGCTGAAGCAGAAGCTTGGAGACAAGAGGTTTTTTTACCAAGCTCAAAAAGAGGATGCGTGACCCTTTCCATTCCCAGTGTTCAGGCCACAGTGTTACCCCGATGTACGCCTACCAGGACCCCGACGGTGCGAGTCGATTACAAGGAGCTAAAGCAGCTTCATCAAATGGAGGTGGACAAGCTTAAGGAGCTCCAGTTGTTGGAACTCAATGAGAGGAGAGAGGCCGAACAGGAACTTGGGCTGGCCAAGCAGAAGATTGCATAGATGGAGGCTGGGAGAGCCAGTCATACACCACGGTCTAATCTAAGGGAACGACTGGATGAAGCAGTCGCAGGATCAGGGAGAGGGAAGCAGAAAGGTACCAAAGATTCTCCTATTCGTGTCAATGACCGTGAAGCGTTCATCAAAGAGACTCGAAAGTCTCTACCTCAGACTAAGGACAAGTTGATGGCTATCTGTGCAGAATAAGGTATCAAGTACACTACTATTCGTCAAAGTGAGGACGAGATTGTGGCCAAGAGGGTTCTTCAGGCCTTTCCTCCGGCGGTGTCGATTAACTCTGATCTGGAGATTTCGGACGATTTGGCAGGTGACACATCCAAAGAGACCGGGGGAGATTCTGCTGCTTCTTAGGATCTCTCCCGGACGCGGCTCAACTTTGGGCCATTTTGCGACGATGCTGTCGTTTTCGTTCCTCTTCTGTTTCCTAGCTCCGCTGCCTAGAACTGAACTCGTTTCTGCAGATTGTGGTGATTGCGTTGATTTTCTTCGGTTGTATTCCCTAGGCATCTAAGTTTAGTCGGTGTATTCTGAAGACTTGGAGCAATGATGGCGATCGTGATAAAGGTCCGTTGGTCTATCTTTTGGTGTCCCCTTGGTGTAGGCACGTGTACGTTGGAAGTATTGGTAGGGATATTCATTCGCGATGGAACAATCATGTATACCGTGCATACAATCCTAATCTTATCTTGAGGGGCTCTCATAATGAACGACTATATGGCTGGCTCTCTCGCTGCGGTATCGAACACTACGTGGCTATTCCGCTTTGCTTTTACACTACGCAGGATTTGTTGACGGTTGAGTATTCGTTTATTCGTAGGTCTGGTGCTTTTTTGAACTCACGAGGTCGTGCACGCAAACCGCGGAGGAGGCGTCTTGGAAAACGTGAAAGGAGACGGAGACTTAATAAGAGTAGATCGGTCCTTTGCTTGTCATATTCTTCTTCTTCTTCTTCTTCTTCTTCTTCTTCTTCTTCTTCTTCTTCTTCTTCTTCTTCTTCTTCTTCTTCTTCTTCGTCATCGTCGTCGTCGTCTTCTTCTTCTTCTATGTCCTCCTCTTCTGCTTCCTCTTCCTCGCTCTTTCCATCCCCTCCGTTGGCTTATTTTTCGTCTTTAACATCCTCCCCTGGTTCGTCTCTACTTGTCGCTCCTATCACGTTCCATTCATCGATTGGCGTATCCTCGGTTAGCTTGTTGAGTATTCTCAATTCTGCCATGGAGCATGGGTGTCCGTCCATTGCTGTCGCTTGTCGAGGTGGATCTATGTTGATTGACAATTGGAAGGTCTTAAAAGGATGTTTTGGAAGGTCGATCGTTTTGTGCGGTCCCAGTCAAGACCTCCTTCGGCATTCCCGTCATCACATTAGGAATGGTTCGTTGATTATCTTCCGCTCTATTGTCTCGTGTTATTTTCGTGCTTTTTCCTTGAAACCACTTCTCGTTGATTTTTTGAGCAACCCTCCCTCCCGTCATCTACTATGTAATTGGAGTCTTGAGCAGTTGGTCTCATCTTTCTCTGCTGTGCGATGTTTCCAGGAAAAGCGTACCCATTCCCGCCTTCGTCTTATCCTGTCTAAAGTTATTTCCTATCGTTTTGACCTTCCTATTCGAAGGCGCTTGATTGTTAAGATTGTTTACGATGATGCCTTATGCAAAGCTGAGATTCACAAAGTCTGTGTGAAACTTATCCGTAATCTGGATATTGTCGAAGTCTGGAAACCGTTGTTGATCCAAAGGCTCCGCTTAGTCTGGCGTAAGAATTTTACTGTCGGCAGTTTCCTGCACAATTTCCGTCCGGTTTCCCGGACCTCCCGTCACATCTGCTCTTGCGATACTGTAGATCAGTCATTTCCTCGTATTGGTGACCACGTGGTGTTCAGACTTAGTGAGGTCGACTGCATTCCGGAGTGCTTGCGTAACTCTCGGAATATCGTTCATCCGTCATCCTCTGGGATAATTAGCAGTCTACGCCATCAGATTTCTGAACTCCTTCCACACTATTCCACAACTCTACTTTCCGGACCGTCACCCTCTACTTAGTAATCATTCGCTATCTCGTTGTCTTACACATACTGTTTCTCCTTCTTCTGTTAAATCTTTGTCTTCGTCTTCTTCTCCCACGATTCCTTCTACCACTCATTGTACCAACGAAACTATTCGGGCTTTTCTTGCTCCACTCCGTGGTCTGGTTCTCTGCCCCATCGACCACAATCCCGGTGATACCTTTGTATGCTGTCCTTGTGTGTATGGTAGTGGAATGAGCAAGTTGTTTACCTGTAACCCCGCATTTCTTCATCTTGAGGGTACTAAGGCTGTTGTTCTGGCCGAATGTCGGGCGGACTTTAAATTGGCGAAGTTCGATCGTATTGGAAAATGAGACAGTCATGGKGATCTTGGAGAGGCGTATTGTATACCAAAGCATAAGGACATTAATCGTTGGCGACCTATTTGTCCAACGTTTGCTGAGGGAGGAGTGACATGCAGTAGAAAATTGGCATATGCGCTCAATAAGATGCTCAGGCGACTTCCTGATCGACTCCATTTCAATTTGAAGAGAACTACTGATTTTGTTCCCGGTATTGCGGCCATTAATAAGAATCTGAAGAACGATGAACGAATAATGGGTGTATCTTTTGATATCAAGGAAATGTTCTCTAACTTGCCGCATCCTTCTATTGTGAAAGTCGTACGATGGGTTACCGACTACTGGTATGGGGAAGGTTTTTCGGGCATCTTGGTTCGATCGCACGGTAAGGTTGCTAGACTAACCAAGGGACATGKAGAAAATGCTTGGACTCTTATTAGATTTGAGGAGGTCGTCAAGTTTGTRTCCTATGAGCTTGACCATACTTATGTGGTTGCCGTTGGTGCTCTTCTGAAACAATTTGTGGGCATTCCAATGGGCAAGACTACCAGTCCGACTCTTGCTTGTTTGCTTTGTGCGTATAACGAATCCTGCTTCCTCTCGTCTCTTGGCTCTGATCGCAAGTTGGTGGCCAACTTCCGTGTCGTGGATGACGTCTCGATTTTTGTTAAATTCACTGCCTCTTCTCCGTCTTCTTGTGACCAGGCACGATCTATCATATCTAGATTCCGATATTGTTACGATTCCAACCTTGTACTGGAACAAACAAATGTGGGGGACTGCTGGGACTACATCGGCTCCGTAGTCAAAGTCTTCTATGATCAAGTGGTATGCTTTGCCACACACAAAAACCAGCGCTGTATTGGAGAACATGCTCTAATCTTCTAGTCTATCCAGGACTATTGTTCGTACTCTAGCAGGCAGCAAAAGATGGCTGTCATTATTTCTTTTCTTCATCGAGCTCGGGCCTTCTTCTCTGTTCCCGACACTGAGGTTGCCTTTCTGTTGACCTTGAAGCACGAACTTTGGCTTAGAGGATACCCGGACTGTTTCTTTGATTCTGCCCTTATCAATTTTTCTCGGAAATACTTTGGGTGTTGGGATCATTGGCTGTTTTGTCTTACTGGGTGGGACAAGTGTTTGTCGAAACGTCGTGCGAGGTTTTTGTAACTCTTCAGTTAGCAGCGATGTAGTTGCTGGATTGGCGGTTTTGGTACCTTCTTGGTCTCTTCAGTGGTAGTTTTGTAGCTTTTTTGCCCCGTTTGCGTTTTAGCAAGTAGGGTATATTCGAGAATGGTGGTGTTGACTTGTGCCTTGTGACGATATGAGGGATCCGAATTCGTCTTATGGCCTCACGACCTTGAGCCGTTAACCTTTTGCTGGTCCCGACCCCACTGGATCGGATGTAGACGTCGTTTCGAAGATTGAATGGGGCGTTATTTCGGTTGGCTAAGCCCTGTTGGTTTTGATAGATAGGGAGGCGGTGCGACTTGATCATTAGATCGTTGTTTTGATAATTTTTTTAGGTGTTTCGTTTTCGACTGAATGACGGTTCGAATCTCTGGCGTAGCTCGGCTCATGATGGACTTTGGTCGGGAGTCTTTCTGTCTAAGCCTCTTGGTGGGATCCGTGGCTTACCTGTGCTAGCTGAACACTCATACTATTTTCTAGCACATAAATACGCGGTCGTCGAATATCATGTCACTTTCGGACGACGCCAAGACCCCTGATGATGGTTCGTTGGCGGACCAACCGAAACTAGTTGGGTCCTACCGCCGCGCTTCATTGTTATACTTTTCGAATATTCGTTGCGTTCAGGCTTTATTCACCACTGCGTATTTTCTCCTGTTTCTGTCTCTTTTCCTATCTCTCCCCATTGTCTCTCTCCCTTTCTCTCTCTCTCCCCCCCCCCCCTCTCTCTCTCTCTCTCTCTCTCTCTGTCTCTCTCTCTCTCTCTCTCTCTCTCTCTCTTTTCTTTGGTTGACATCGCCTTCTTGATGACTGAACTAACGAAGTTGTCGTGTTATTGCACTTCTACTACGAACGCCCGAACCCGAACGCCCGAACCCGAACGCCCGAACGTACGGTGTCGGTGCGAATACCCTTACAAGGGTATCCGCCCTAGTCTTTGCAAACGACAGAAAATACTTTGGCTTAAAGTTTAAGTGTGCCGCGCTAGGCGCGGCCGCGTCTGTAATTTATGTTGACTAGATAGTTGACGAGAGTAAAAGGATGCGTGGGCGCGCAAGCTTGAGGCGCGCGTGATTTTCCCTTCCTTTGGTTACACTAGCAGTCGTGGCGCGGACATCGGTCGGCACGCTCCATTATAACAATCGTTTTTTTTTACTAAGTTGGCTAACCTATGGGCGTTTTTCTCTGGTTCCGCGTGGAACGATGGACGGGTCAGTGAGCAAAGTGAGGCCTTACGCGGCATCCAGATGATGGGACCTGATGGATTCAGCCGGGTAGGGGTAGCCGCGGCACAGCCGGGAGGTTGGCGCGGCTTTGTATGGTCATGTGTGTGAGTGCGGGTCAGGGAATGGCATGGGGCGGCTCCTTTTGGCCGCAAAAGGTCAGGGGCTACCTCTTTATTAGGTGACTCAGGCCTGCTCGTACCAGACTTGGGCTTAGCCTTATAGGTTACAGCACCTGACTGATACGCAGCAGACGCA